TCGTGTATTTGCCTTAATTAAAATATTTGTCTATTTTCCCTACCCGCAGGAAACACTTTTTTTTTTATAGCTACGATTTTATTTAAAGAAAATTATAAGGTATCGCAGCCTAAACATGCTATTTTGTACTATTTAACTAGTTGGCTGCAATGCAGAAAGTACAGCTGTGCTAGGAAATTGCTTAATGACCAGCCTTCAGCCAATCCACGCACAGAAGTCCTTTACGAGCTTTAGATTTAAAAAGTCCATCATCATCCCTTAGTACAAGCACTTAATTTACTTACAAATATGCATTTCCCAGCCAATGTTTTAAAAGTTTTCCGCCTGTCCTTAATATGCTCAATTCCAGAAAGAAATGTAGTATGTCAATGGCTCAAGTAATCTAACTGGGTACGAGAGCTGTAATTTGGGGGGGTACCCTGCTGACAAATTTCTGTCCAGTATGCTGCGGATAGCTAATACGCTATGATATTACATTAACGGGCAACAGTTATCATCCTGACAATTTTCAGTGCGGGTTTCCAGAAAAAGTTTCTTTATGCAGTGTAGCATTACTTTTATATTATTTAAATATATGAAGCTGATTATCCAAATAGCACATCATAGGTACATCTCTGGAGCTAGTTTAATTTTGTAGCTGCTTGGCTCACAATTTGGGATGGAATCACTACAAATACTGAAGTGGGGCAGGAAACAAATTTTGCAAGCAGTGGAGTCACCATGACAAAAAATAATTTGTTTTTATTTTAGATTCAGATTTCATTACTGCACTCAAACTACTACAACTGGGCTTTGAGTTATTATACAATCCAAACTGTTTCAATCAGAAACTCTAAGACTCAGTGTGCAATGATTATTATTAATAATAATTAGCTCCTTGGTTTCTTGATAGAAAAAGGCTATCAACAAGCATTTGTTTAACCACAACAAAAGTATAATTAGCTTATCCCACTTAGTAAATCTGTATGCATGCCAACTCATACCAAACTGCTACTTTTACAAAAAATTGCAATAATACAGATCATTTTTCCAGTCCTTTTTGCACAAAATTTATTTACAATGTATACATAAATGCTCCATGATGGGACTATGGAAAAATGCACACATGACTGATGTTTTGCCCAGAAAGAAAGTCAACATATTAAAAATAAATCTTCAGTCCATGTTTCGAGCTGCATAAAACAGGAAGTGATGTACAAGGTGGTGGTTGCTGCATGGGGACAATGATGCTCTGATGTGACAATTAGGCTTCAAATACACTGCCTTTCCGTTTCCATGCTTCCTCCTACCAGTCTCCTTAAGACACTGCCTGCAACAGCTGATTAATCATTGTTGATGACTGCAGTTTTTCCCATCCTTCCCGATTTACATCTGTTCAGGCCAATTCAAATATGGTGAGTAAATGAATTAGACATGCAAATTCACGCCCCAGGCTAGAAAGAGAGAGAGAGAACAGAGAGAAAGGGAGACACAGGGAAGAAAGAAAGAGAGAGAGAGAGAAGGAGAGGAGAGGAGAGAGAGAGAGAGAGAGAGAGAGAGTGTGCATGGCTGAAATCCTAGGATAGAAGAAAGATTCTTCTGCCTGACATAGTTATTTTAATGCTCTAAAAATCCTGCAAATAAGCCCTTTCTGTCATTTGCAGGATAAGTGTAAGGCTTCTTTTTAATGTAAGGAGGCTTCTGGAGGAAGTGAAGAGCTATGGAAACAACACACATAGTGTGGAAAAATTTCACATTTTTTTTAAAAAATCTATAAGAAACAACGTAATATGGATAACAGTATAATAGCATTTTACAATATTTCACTCTTTGTTCTCTTAATGTCTTATATAGGTATTTAGCATGTCCCCAGAAGTTGACTTCAGTTGGTGTTTTCCTGCTTTTCAGGGTCCCTGTGAGGAATAGGAACGTTCCTTGGTCCAAAGCAGATGCCAAGAAAAACGGAACTCCATAGTCATTGCAGAAAGACAATGTTTGAAATCTACCGTCGTTGCAGGCGATGCGGATTCCCTTAAGCTACTGAGCATGAATGTCCATCACTTGTCCACTCATTGCCGGGTCGCCGGTGGAAAGCATGGTGGGGCTAGATGCTGACATGGGCATTCCAGGGTGGGGTGGTCCTCCATGCATCATCATCGCCGGGTGGTGGGGGTGTCCAGGAATGTAGGTGTGCATGGGGGGGCCAGGACGCAGCTGAGCAGGGTGGGGGGGCATCTGGGGCGGGCTATAGCTTGGCTGTCCCATATTCATACCCATTGGACTACCCCGAGACACATAATCCCCTGGCATGCTTTGCAGCCCTGCGGAGAGAACAGAGGGAGCGTGTGAGTGGCCACGGCCAGGATGCGGAGGCGGGAAGGATACCGAATCGGGCCCTGGACCGCCACTCGGGGGGGCTGCTTGGAGCCGAGCGCTACTCCTAGGCGGGACTGTGCAAGTACAGTTGCGTACATACGCGCTTGTGGGACCGAAGCCTCTGCACGGACTTGCAGTAAGGACGGGCAACAGGAATGAATCCCGCATTCGAAAAGAAAACACCCCCCCGCCCCCCAAAACGCAACGTTTCGGGAGACAGAAACCGCTCTCTATTTTTACATTTAGGAATGGACATACGCCTTTGCCATCTGAAAGCATGCTGGTGTGGCAGAGCCACCCGGATGACAACTAACGCAGCGCCCGAGGTGGCGGTACCAAGCGGCCCAGGCCCTCGACAGAGAGCAGAGAGGTCCTGCGAGGTCTCCACGGGCCTCTCAGGTGCCAGCAGCCTTGCTTGAGCTGCTCGCCTTCATCTCCCATCTCGCTCGTGAGAGAGGGGTTGCGAAGCTCAGCGTGCAGGGAACACAGCGCAAGGAAGCCGTGTTACTTAATGAGGGGCTTTGCAGGAGAGATGGCTTAAATCGGCGTCACCGTTTATCAACAGTTATTTGTTTAGCTCTCCGACCCGATTACTTGGAGCCTGTCCGAAGTATCTGTGCCATTCAAACGCACCCTATACAGCAAGCGCATATACTGTCGAACAAAGGCCTCGTATGAAGCTGAAATTGATAGGATTACTAGGGCCGAGTGTTAAATCAAACCTGTATTTTTAAACGCATAAAAAAATAAAATCAATAGCAGTTATCAATTAATTCCTTCCCCGTGATCACTTCTGTCTGAAAAAAATCAGACACAGGACGCAGTCAACCTTTCAGTGATTTGGAGAACAATAAGAAAAATTGGACCTAAAACAATAAAACCTCCTGCTTTCCGTGGGCCTCTGCCTTCTGCTTGGATTGCTATAGCTGATGGGAACTGACAGGTGTATTGTTTCGGAGAGCTATAAGCTCCATAATCATCAAGGGTGAAAGGCATACGCTATTGCTAAGTAGGTTCAATTGGCTTTAGTTCTAAGTAATAGTGCGCCGTGAATGCTACGAACACCTTGGAATCAGGTCTCAAGGCTCTAGCAATGAATAGCTGCTTAATCTAGCCTAAAGGAACATTTTTGAACTAATGAAAATTGCTTATAAAATATACTGTACTCACAGCTCTTTAATCAAAAAAGATGATAATATTTTTTGTAATAACCTATTAATTTAATTGGTCACGAAGCATAAAATACATCATTTAAATTTAATTGACCCAGAAACTAAGAAACAATATTTAAATTAACTAAGCTAGAAATTTCCATGATGAGGTAATAAGGCTGTTGCATTCCCAAGCTCGGGGGAATGTTTTCGCAGCTAATTGTTAAAACTTATTTTTGACTCGCACCCACAGAAGACAACTACAAAACACGCTTGGCCTTGGTAACTTCAAACACCACGTTAATATAATCAGAGGCACAACAAAGATGCCAAAATAACTGCTTTTAACTTCAGAAACAAAGCAAAAGAAACAGAATTAGGGGTCATTTAAACATGGTACCAGTGCCTTAGTGTGTCGAGCAGCTTTACTTAAAAAAAAAAAAAAATTGTATAGTGTATTTTCCCCTAAAAAAAAGACAAGAGCAAAAAAAAAAAATCTGGGACAGTTTTTCTAGGCTTTCTTCACGAGGCCTGCCACTGAAGATTGCATTAATGATCTCTATTTTTGTATACTGAATAAGTCAAATCCATTTGTCACACTGCAAGTGATGGCATACTTAATTTGGATATAGTCAATTAGCCTGGGCTAAGCTCCATAGCCTGCTGTGCACACCTCTATTTTGTATTCTCTCTTTTTCCTTTGCCACACGTAATCCCATTATGACGGACAGACAAAGAGAAATAAACTTGAAAAAAAAAAAAAAAAAAGAAATCAAAGTTGAGTCGCTCGCTTTGCAAAACGTTAACTAGCCCTAAGTGAAGCCGGCGTTTATTTTCCCTAAAAGAAGTCTCTGTTTGGCTTTTTTGGTGTCTCGCAGGTTAGTGGAGAAACGTAACTCATGCATCAACTGCGGTTAGACAGATTTATGACACTTTGGGGACATGCTCTTTCCTCTCCCTGCACTGCTGCCGACTGCTTACATTTTGCAAATCAGTCGGTTGCCGTGGCAACGGGCTCCCCCCTTCCCGGCGGGTCCCGGCTTTGTCATGTGGTCAGCGCTGTGCCACAGCCAGGCGCAGCACCCGCGGCGGCGCGCAGCACCCGCGGCG